TAGCTCTAGGAGAATGCCCAAAACCAAGAGCTGCTTCCCTCCCCTTGTTATCTCTAAGGCACCCTTGAAAAAGAAAGAACAAAAAGAGGGTAGGGACATGCAGCCTTCAGCTGTGATACTAGGAAGCCAGTGATTTTTAGAAACGCATGAATAGAGAGACCACCACTAAACAGACTCACTCAGCCCTGTCTAGTGATCTAACAGCGCTCAGCTGCAAGAACTGGGGCTTTGGGCATTGCAACAACTGAAATACTGCACGGTTCCTTGGGGTTGAGCCTCTTCCAGCTCAGGTCTGTCCATTTCTTTCCAGGCTGCTCCCCAAGTAAACAGATGGTTGAAGTTCCTTCCCCAGGACCTGTAAACTCTTCTATATGTTGAAGATTCATCACCTTTTTTGAAGGGGACCGATAAATTACAATGTCCAAAAAGCTCTTCCAGAATTGGGTATATTCCATGTTTTTCTAGAATTCCCAGTCATCCACATCCAGCTGCTCCAGGTTTGATACCAGCCCAAAAATGCCACTGGGATCCTGTGGCCGTGTTCCTTCAAAATTAGTGATCGGCGTGACAGGGCGCAGAAGTTCAGGGAGTGCTTCAGAAGCACGACGCTTGATCTGCATAGAAAGGAGAGAACTCGGCTGTTGAAACGCTTCCCAGCACCTGCACGTCCTCTCCCAGGCTAGCAGCACCAACGTGTAGTTACAGATAGCAAATAAGGCAGCTTTAGCCTCTTGCCCGTTAAGACATCTGCAGGACTTTTGCACTTCATCTCGGAAAAAGAAAGTGCTTAGCAAGCAGTCATTGCAGTAGCACTTGTCTGCCATGGCCCTGATGCTCTCTACAATGAGGAAGAGAAGCTGCAGTGCCATAGGGCAGGGAGCTGCTGCAACAGCTGTGATACTGCCTAACACTCCTGATCTCATTGAGTCTTCAAGTCTCTCCCAACCCTGGTAGAGAAGAGGGGGGTGGAAAAAAAATTAACGCATCATTTCTCAGGCAGTAGCAAGTGAGAAATAAGCTGTGAGCATAAAAACATCTCAGGCTTTACACTCCCCTGTTCTGTCTGGCCTGCCAGCCGCGTGAGACACACCACGAGCTCCTGGAAGTCTCACCATGGGGAAGCATCACCCTAACCATCAGCTAAGAGCAAGCCAAAGAAATAGTTGCAGGGGCTGCAGAGCCATTGCCTCTTCTTATGTCAGGACTGGACCTGGCCAATAGGTGCAACAGTTGTAAGCAGTGGACATACCACCTCAGTCTGGTCTCAACAGGGAACTAGGCTACAATAACTGCCCCAGCATTCAATAGCCTGTAGCTGAGAAGCTTCTGCATGAGAGACAGATTTATATCCTCTGTTCAAATTTGGCCGAGATGCACTCAAAGCAGTACTTCCACCTCCCAGGAGAATACTAGAACCATCAAGCTGGACTATAATTAGTCACCAAATGCCCATCAATTATTTGGAAACTTGGTGCTTTCGGATCACAGAAAACTCAGCAACTCAACAGCAACGTTCCCAGCCTTGGGCTCAGTGACACAGCAAGACAACAATTACAGAAAAGCCACTATTCTTTACTTGCAGATTATGTGAGCTTCTTACCTGCTTGAAAAATGGATGATTAAGCAGAGCACCCGCACTTGGCCTGTAGAAGGGAGTTAGAAGAATAAAGTAAGCACACAAGAAAATGCGGCAGCAAACTTGTGCTTTCAAGATGCTCAGGTGCAGTTCTGCGAGCAGTTCCCCACCACAGCCTCATCCAACCGCATCCCCTACCTTGTACCAGCTCTAGCACTCAGTCCCTCTGAGCAGATTTGACTCACTAACCCAACAGAAAACTCTTCATGCTCTCATAGCTCATGGAGTGGTCTGATGAGTGCTAGAACCAGCGTAAGGCACGGGAGAGGTAGGGCAGGACCTCCACCTTTCAACAGCGAGCTGTCACGCTGGCTCACTCTCACAGCACCATGCTTAGTGTCGTGTTGCAGTCTGCACTGAATGAAAACTACTTAACCAGTGTTCAAAGATAGATAGCGGTGGTGGAAGAAAGACAGACCAGGGTCCTGCCTCTGTCCAGTCTCAGCTACAGGACATCTCCCTTTTAAAAGCAGTAGCACCGTTCGTCTCCATTATGTTTGTATGATGTTTTATACAAGCAGTTCAACCTCCTTCTCCTAGGTGAAAAAGTTACCTATTTGCACATCCCAAAATTTGGTCTCAGGAAAGCTTCCCAACAGTGCGGTATGCTGGAGAAATACCACATGTGTCATGAGGCACGTAGCAGAGAAAGACCTTATGCTTACTACAGAGGAAACACTTTTCTTGATCTGTTCCCACATTATTCTCTGCTGGCTGGACAACAGACGTATTCACACTGAATGAAACGAGGTAAACAAAGTCTCACAGGGACCAAAGTTGATGAGTTTGTTTCCCTCACATGCAAAACCACTGTACCTCCTAAAGAAGGCTGCAAAGTATACCTATGTACTGTGAAATTCTTCAGACTCTCTCGTGGAAAATATCTCAAAGTGTTAACACTGCTTTTGGTTTACATACTTGGACTGCCGTTCTCAATGTATGAAGCCCATCCTCACAGAGCTATTCTTTTTTGGGGGAGGCGGGTGTCTTCAAACAAACTTTGCTGGGAGCAGTGGCTCTCGAAAGGTGCTTGTGGCAGGTGCGTAAAGAGCAGTTTCGGCCTAGTTTTACCTGTAATCTGGGTTCCGCTGGAGACACTGCTCTACAAAGTTGTGGAAGTAGGTGGAGAAGGTCCGAAGATAAGGGTGCAGTGTTGACTCTCCATTGGCTGCTCTCACATTGCTAATCGCCGTGCTCTCACTCATCCCATAGTTAG